TATATATATATATATATATATATATATATATATATATATATATATATATATATATATATATATATATATATATATATATAATATAATTCTGATTTGGGATCCATAGGAATGGAGCAACTCCTTTGATTGTCCAACAGGTACATTCCTAGGGGTTAAAATAAAGAAACAGTGAAAGTGTATGGCAATAAAGATGGTCTCCTTTGTGTCCCTGGGAAAGGGAGGTGGGAGGATGCCATATCTTATACTGACATGTGCCAACCTTTCATAAACTCCAGGTTGGATCTGTGGGAAGAACATCTTCCCTACAGAAGAAACTAACACAATAGGAACAGGGATTCTTTGTTCAATTTGAAACATAATTTTTCAGTTATTGCTTCAACATCTGGCATTTCTACTGACCAAGCATATCTTAGCAAAGGCAATGTTATCTTGTTTATTCTGCTTTCTCTTAGCTAATCACTATTTGCTAGGCCTCTGGTCTCTTGACCAAACTCTGGACTTTGGGTCTGGAAAAGAGCTGGCACAATCCATATATCAGGTTGTTATATAAAATGCACATAGATTTTTAACCCTTCAATTATATATAGTTTTAATGAGTTTGTTCTTTTTAATTTATTTTTATATGTATTTTAATACTTTAAACATCTGGATTTAGTTAAGTTTTTTATTGTAATATATTTTGGTTTTGGCACAATGACCTGTGGCTGAGTTACTATTAATAAGCTTGACTTACGTGTTGGTATTCTATCTTTCCATGAGCTGACTATTTCCAACTCTAGAGTAGGAGACCTCGTTATGGGTGCACACACACACTGTAAATGTGAAAATATATATGACTACAGTTCATGAGAATTTACACTTGTCATGTGGTTCAAGGTTTTAGTCTCATAGCAATTACACATTTTCAATAATATCATTGCTCTTTTATTTTTATTCAGGGTAGCTATATGGTGCTATCACTGCTGTACCAAAAACTACTAAAAACAGGATTAAAATAGAATTTTTTTCTTAAATTCCCTTTTAAACAAAGATAGAGTAGGTGATTGCAGTTTGAAATGAATGCACTGCTTGGGCTTGTTTAGCTTGTGTGTAAATATAATAGAGGATTATGTTTTAAAGGCCTGATGTTGAGCCAGGTGCCCACTTCAATGCTTACTGTTTTAGATAACCCCATGGCATCAGTGGGAGCATTTATGGTAATCCGCACCAGTTAGTGGGTGCAAGATTGAGCCCTAAATTTGACTTAAGTGAATCTGCCTTGTAACCCAAATACCAAAAAAAAATTTTTTTTGTAATGATTTTTGTATAGCATGCGAAACTAAACATTTAGTGTCATTATTTGATAACTAATAAACACAGCCAAACTTAATTTTACCAAAATATTTTTATTGGTGCTTACAGTGAAAGTACATATCCTCAGTTATGTCGTTTAGTCACTAATGTTACATCATGCACCTCTCATGCGTCAAGCATTCTATAATCAGGGCCTTGTGTACAATTTCCTTTGCCTCAGTTTTACCACTGCTCTGCCTGAAAATAGTCTCATCCTGAAGACAGAATGCACCAATATAGTTTTCAACTTTTCCATATATATAGGTATTACCCTAATTTTTAAATTCCATAGATATTTTTTTTAATGTATGCTGCTAGCCTTCATTCTCTGTCATACTGCTTTCTAGATGTACTTGCTCGACGTTCATTTTGATGTAGACTTTTTCTAAATATAACTTCTAAAACACTTTCTTTTCACAGCAAACTTTTATACTCATTTCCAGGATGGGGTTTAGGGGGTGTGACAACCCTCGAACAGGTTAGTAGTTTTGATTGTTCATTGGTTTATAAAAGGTAATTCTAGAACAGCAGTCAGTGTTGTTTAACATTCTTGTACAGTCCTATAGGTGCATATTGTGTACAGAGAGTATAGATAATATCCCTGCTTGGAGAAGCATACAATCTAGGGGACAAGTCCTGTAAATCCTTACTAACTCACATAGCTTTCTTAACTTCATTCTGGTTACTCCACTGAGTAAGGACTACTTCGGTGACTTACGTTTTTAGGGTTTTGGTGTACCGTAGGCCAGTTTATTTATGTTGCCAGTTTCTTGCTTCTGAAATTCATTTGGGTTTTTTTTATTTTTACGTCGTGGGGAGGGGGAGAAATCAAACTTTTGCCAAAATGAAAAGAACAACTCCAAAAAGAAAAAAACAGGGGGCTATTACAAACAAAATAAAAACAAACTAAAAATATGATACCATACAGTATCATATAACATCGGCTGCTCAAGCTTCTGCGAACAATTTTAATTTCATATAAATTTATTTTTAGTGCAACATGTTCAATCTCACTTTGATGCTTTAGAATGGTCAAATGCTCAATTATAGATTGATATTATGTGGTAGGAAACGAAGTGCAAAATTTATTAAGTACCTGACTATAAGGTTAAACCATTCATTTTAGACTTAAATTTACTTGAATGTCATACATATCGGGTGTTAACTTGCTGTACCTGTAACATACTGGTATAGAAAAAGCTTATGGACCATGAAGTAGGTTACACAGAACTTGACATAGCATATTCCAGCTAAGTTTGCAAAATTAAGCACTCAAGTCAGGAAATGAGATCCACATGCATATTTTATACTGTACAGATTTTAGTTACGTATCACAAACACACACATTGTGTAGGACTGCCTCCCTTACATAGTGCACAAGTTGGACAGTGAACGAGGAACAGATGTGAAATTTACTAGACTTATTCGAACATGTTTAAAGGGAAACAGTTATCTACCAAAAATTCTTTTTTTTTTTCTAGGAAAGTTTTTAATTGCTTAAATTTATTTCTTAAATTATTTTTAGGCTAAATTAATGCATTCCCTCCCATTGGTTGCATATCCATGGACTTTCTCCTACTTCACTACACATTGTTGCTCATGTACACTGAAGGCTGAATTGCTCAGAATATACTGAAATCAGGTCAAATCCAGTGACTCAGTAGTTTTATTCTTAATTTATGTTGTGTAATTTCAAACATAAGTTTTTGGCTAGAATGAAGCAGAATCCCTGCCTAATTTGCTAAGAAGAAATATCTCATTTGCTTTGCAAATTCAACCTGTTCACTGAAGGAAGCAGTGATGTTGTAATAATAAAATGTCATGTAGTTAAAGAATATATTAATACATTCAGCAGAACTTATTTTTTAATAGGAAAAATACAGACGGATGGAGAGGAATCTGTTCAATTTCTCTCTCATCATTTAACTCTCTTTCACAGGCACCAGCAGTAGATGTAGTTGCAATAGGTCTCGTGTCTGGTCATATCATTGTGCACAACATTAAGTTTGATGAAACACTGATGAAATTTCAGCAAGACTGGGGTCCCATCACAGCAATATCTTTCCGTACAGGTAAATTCTAGCAGTTTGATTAGTCGTATATGCAGATCAAATTAAAACAGTAATATTAATTGAAAAGTAGAAAAATTAAACATATTTTTAAGGTATTGTAGGCACAAAACTTGGGGTTTTGTGTCTTGGGATTTTTTAAAGTTTACAATGGCTAATAGTAATAAACTTGTGATATTTTCTTATATAGTTGGAAAAATTGCAAATCTTGCAGGGGAATGTTTAAAATCTGTATACGGCAACATTTTACTATTTCATAAATAGGAAATAACATTCACTCAAAACAGATCAGCCTAGTAGTAGGGGTCAGAGTATTCTGCAGTACAGCAGATTTGGCTCTTGCTGCAGAATTGTTTTCTGAGATGTGAGCAGCACCTATTCCTGTCATTCATCTAACTCTGAAATCTAAAGATATAGCCAGTTAAATATCCAAAAAGTGGGGTTTCATGAATCTTCCTCTGAAGCATCTGGTACTGGCCATTGTCAGAACAAGATACTAAACTAAATATACCTGGTCTGATCTGATATTGCATATCATCTGGTCCTGTTACTGATGGTGCTGCTCCATTCTCTCTCTCTCAAAAGTTAGATCACTATGATAAATGATTGCTTTAATTTTATGTTCTATTTAGGAATGAATTTTTTCCTCTGATTGTAATCTTTGAGGGAGATTTGCTTACATGAACTTTGAAATGTTAAAATGATTGAAAGCTATAAGCAATGTATAGTAAAAAAAAAAAAATTGGTTTTGGATTCTTCCCCTCCCCCTCCCCCTTTCATTTTGTGATTAGATGGTCATCCAGTCATGGCAGCCGGAAGTCCTATTGGACACATTGCACTGTGGGATCTGGAAGAGAAGAAACTAATTAGTCAAATGCGAAATGCCCATTCCACAGCAATAGCTGGTATGTCATTTGTCCAGGGAGAGCCACTTCTTGTTACTAATGGTGCTGATAATGCTATAAAGGTAAGCTTTTTTTCTGCTACTACCGTTGTGGTAAATTTATTTTTTCCAGTGGTCCTCCAAAGTATGAATACTTGTGTAGACTGAAGTAGCTCTTTTCAGTTGCAGCAGCATGTACAGTAAAACCAAAGTTACTGAACATGACAGGTTATTGTTTCTAACTACGTTATTCCCATCTATTTTTTCAATAGGAGTTACTGTTATGTTTACTGATGTTCCATTTCTTTGCATTTCTTGAGCAGATATGGATCTTTGATGGCCCTGGAGGTGGTGGTCGTTTGTTGAGGTGCCGTATGGGACATAGTGCTCCTCCAACAAAAATCAGATACCATGGGCAAAATGGACAACAAATTCTTAGTGCAGGTAGAAATCCTCTGAACTTCTCAAATATACCCATTTTGTTCTGCGCTGTTGTTAAATGAACTTTTCAGCTTATTGGCTAGTGATAAAAGCTATGACTAGCAATGTCTTTAATTTCATTTTGACAATGCATTGCAAATTACTGTATTTAATCATTTAGGTACATTAAGCGTACTGAGTAATTCTTTGAGTGATTGCTCATGTGCAGTCCATGCGTGGTGTCTGCACCTAGCGCTCGGTTGTTTGTAAACTTTCCTTCAGCTGTACCTGTTGGGTGGCTTGTGCTCCCTCTGCTGCCATGCGCCATTGTATAAAGGGCAGAGTGGCTCCTAGTCCCACTCAGTTCCTTCTGATCACCCGTGACAGTCATCAGAACCCTTGTTCATTACCAGAACAGTTCTTTCTCAGCTTTGTGTATGATGATGTATATAATAGAGCTAGTCTGGTAGTATAGCTGTAGGATTTTGATGTTTAAAAAACCCCAGTTTTCCACTCCGCCCCCCGTTTCAGGGTTCTGCTGATGGCACCAAGGTATGCCCCAGTCACTGGGCTTCAAGCACTGCGCTTCTTGCTCGAGGCCTGTGTTAGTGAGCAACTCTCACTATAGTTGCCTGAGGTGTCTGGCTAAAGCAGAGTTAAAAGACTGGTGCCAGATTTGCAGGGAATTCAAGCCTAGAATGAAGAACCATAGGGAGGCTAGGGTGAAATTCCTGCTGTTGGAGTTGGCAATCAGGCCACCATCAAAGCTGGCCCGGTCTGACTTGGTGCTGAGTACTGCAGCTTCAGTGAGAAGTGCACCTCCAGCATTATTGGAATCTGGTCACCAGTCTCTCATGCCTGTGCTAAGAAAGAAATATAAGACTTCCAAAGAGGCTCAGAGCAGGGGAAGATCTCTACCCTTAAAGTCTGGTAAGAGGGGTGAGAACATGTTGAATTGAGTGCATCTGAAACCTAAGCACTCCTCTCCCAAATCAGTGCTCTAGTCAGAACAGTTGGTTTCAGTGCGGCAAAGGGCACCATTGAGCCCGATGCCAGAAGCTGCACTGTCAGCTTCATTGTCACCATAAGAAGATACCACCTCAGTGCCAACTACCCTGGAGGCGCTTGAGGCAGCAAGAAATTTGCTCTGCCTCTTGGTACTGGTGTCTCCATTGGTACAGGACTGGGGTCCCTCGGCACCATTGTCCCATCCATTACCATCTCCAGCAGGCCAACCTGTGATACCGAAGTTGCCTACTTCCTAGTCAATCCATTCATACCCTCCAAAGGGAACCTTGCAATGATGACGATGCTCCGTCTATCACCAGGTTCTCAATACTGGTCCCTGGTTATGACTGGATGAGCAACTTAGAGATGGGATCTTATGTCTCACAAGCCTGAAGCAGGACCAGTCAGTCCCCTCGAGGATCCTCTTTCCCTGCCTACCATTGAGACCCCACAATGGGAGTTGCCAAGAAAATGTGGCTAGGTCACTGGGGTCTAGCCTTGTACCAGTAGCTATTTTGGGACGCTTTGGGGTTTCCCCAGTTTCCAGATCTCCCCCCTCACTGTGCCTATTCAGTGCCTTGGGGACAGGGCTGCGCATCATCTGGGGACAGCCTGCACACTGGTCTGCTCTGTCTGCAGGGTCCAGTTCCAGGACCAGAACCAAACATCAGGAAGAGGTCCTAGAAGCAAGGAACGGCCTGTAGGAGAGCTTCAGTCTCCTCACTCTTGGCTTTCTCTTCGTCCTATTCAGATGATGTGGTTTCTCTAGATGAATTTAAAGTCTGAGGAATTGTAAAAGAGTGGCTGCAGAGTTGGGCATGCAGGTCAGGGAGTTCTCCTATAACTTGATTGACCTATTATCAACTGTTGGTCCTTCCAAGTGGCTCTGCCAATTAATGAGGCAATACTAGAGCCTATAAAGCCTCCATGGCAGATCCCGTTATCATTGCCTCCCACTTCAAAGAGAAAATTCTATGTGCCCACCCAATGTTTTGAGTACCTTTATACCCACCCACCTCTGGGGTCATTAGTCATGGCAGCTAATGAGAATGAGTGACAAAGACATCAGACTGCTACCCCCAAATCAAAGGACACAGAGAGTGGACAAAAAGATTTATTCCATGGAGGGTTTGCAGCTGTGTATTGCTAACCTACGGGCTCTGCTGGGGTGGTACAGTTTTAATTTATGGGGCTCCATGTAGAAATTCGGAGACCTACTTCTGGAGATGGCTAGGCAGGAGTTCTTTTCTCTGGTCAATGAGGGCAAATTAGTCGCAAGAACATCACTGCAGCTAGGACCATGTATTTTGCGGTTACCAAGTAAAAATTCTCCTGGTTGGTCTTCTGATGTCCCCTATGAAGTCCAGAATACTATTCGGGACTTGTCATTTGAGGATACTTCTCTGTTCTCAGACCAGATGGACAGAGTGTTCCATGGCTTAAGGACTCTAGAGCCACCTTAAAGTCCTTGGGTTTGTACGTAGTGCTTTCTGACTGGGGGTAGATCTCAACATCAAGAGAGACACTGATTTCCCTGCCCCCTTCTTCACTTCCCCTCCCCCCATCTGCTCAACGTGACCTGTCAAAAAAAAAAGTCCAGGGGTTTTAGGTGCAAGCCTCACCCTGCTGCTTCAGCTCCAGCTTGGGCCCTTTGGTACTTCCTGGATGTCTTAAGCAGTTGTTTTGATGGCCCTGTTGAGGTTGCTATGCCATTCTCCATCACTCCAAATCCATATTCCCCCACCTTTGCAAACAGTCTGTCTCACTTCTTCAGTGCTTGCTTCTGAACTACTTCGGACCTGTGGGTTTTGAACACTGTGGAGGTGGGATATACTCTCCAGTTTGCTTCTACCCCTCCCTCACAACTTCACTCCCTGCTCCCTTCAGGGACCACTCTCACAAGGAGCACCTCTCCCAGGAGGTACACTCTTCCCTTCAGTTGGAAGCTGCAGGGTAGGTTCCATGTGATCTCAGAGGGAAGGGGTTTCATTTCCACTATTTCCTCATCCCAAAAGCAAAAGGGGGGAGGGGAGGAGGATCTCAGACCAATCTTAGGGTACGTCTATACTTACCTCCGGGTTCGGCGGTAAGCAATCGATCTTCTGGGATCGATTTATCGCGTCTAGACAAGACACGATAAATCGATCCCGGAAGTGCTCGCCATCAACACCAGTATTCCTGCTCCGCAAGAGGAGTACGTGGAGTTGACGGGGGAGCCTGCCTGTTGCATGTGGACCCGCGGTAAGTACTTTGTAGTTCGAACTAAGGTACTTCGACTTCAGCTACGTTATTCACGTAGCTGAAGTTGTGTATCTTAGTTCGAACTGGGGGGTTAGTGTGGACCAGCCCTTAGACATGTGTCAATTCAACAAATTCTTGAAAAAGATAAAGTTCTTCAAGTAGTATTCCTATGGGTACTCCACTCTAACTGCACTTGCACCCCCGGCGCCTTTGATTGGAGATTTCTCATAGCAGTGTCTATTTAGCCCACACGTGTGTTACCCAGCCTTGTGTTTTGTGCCATTGTTACATAGCACTGTGTGGGCAAACCGCCCTCAGTTCCTTCTCAACCATCTCAGCCTGAGATTGAGCCTTTGTAGTTGTCCGTGTTGAGTTTTAGCTCAACTGTGTCCCGTTAGCTCTTTTTATAGTTAGTTTATTATAGTTAAGGCTACGTTTTAGTCACAGGTATTTTTAGTAAAAGTCATGGACAGGTCATGGGCAGTAAACAAAACTTAATGGCCCGTGACCTGTCCATGACTTTTACTATATACCCCTGACTAAAACTTGGGGGCGAGGGGGAGGGCGGCTTTGTATGGTCCCCACCCCATGCAGCCTTGCTTTCGCTCATCTCTGCTCCTTCTTTTTATCTCCCCCTCCCCCCCCCGGCTGGCAGAGTTGGTTTGGTTGATTTGTGTACCTTAACTGTGTTTTGATGCCTTAGCCTGTTCTGGTTTCTTTAAAGGTTAGCTTTTACTCATTTCCTGGGTTTGCAACACTTGTTTTGGGATAATTGTAAACTTGTGGGGTTTTTGTACCCATAAATTTGTGCTTTTAACCCTAACTCCAGGTCATTTGGTTTTTGTCTGGGTTTATTGTATATCAAGATTTGGACATAAACGACTTGACTATTCCTGTAGCATTCTGGTTTATCATTGTTCAAATGTCTGTTTTTGATCTTTGTGACTTGGGCATAAGCTGATGTTGTTATGGATAGGTATTTAATTTTCTTTTTCTTAATATTCCATCAGGTCAGGATGGAACCTTGCAGTCTTTTTCCACAGTGCATGAAAGGTTCAATAAAAGTTTAGGACGTGGTAAGTAGTACAACGAATGTACAAATGAAAGGAATAAAACATTTTTTTAATTATGTAAAAATATAGTCTTAAAAATGACATGACTTTGTTTTTCCTATTTGTACAAGTACCAAAGCATATCCTGTAGGGCACGGTGAGCTTCAGGGCACATTTTACATACAGCACATGGGACTGAAGTGTCTTTGTGTGGTAGTATAGTTAAACACTTTAATTAGAATTAATTTGTTAAAGACTGACTTTTTAGAACTATATCATTCTACTATGGGAAATAATTCCCAGTTTATTTTAATATGAATTATTTTGTATTAGTGGAGTATAGAATAGTAGGCATTTTTTCTATTTTTTAATTTTTTACATATTTAATATTAAACTTTCTCTCTTCCCCCTCCCCCTTTAGATTGTATCTCTTAACTCTGGCTGTCCACTTCCTCTTCTCACTTTCCAACAGCACCTCGCAGCTGGTTGGGTGGCTTTCAAGCATTTTTTTTCCCCTGGTGGGACTACATTTTGGGAGTATGTTGTGTTCTTTATTTAGCCTATTAACAAAAATAATCTTGAAAGTAACCTCTGCTGCATCTGAGGAACTTGCTTTTCCACTAATTGAAATTATATAATGGGGTTACAAATGTGCATAGATAAAAATAATTGTAAAAGTGGTCCTCTGGTGATGTCATAAATTTGTTTTCTGGGGAATTTGTAATACTTGTGATATCTAAGTACATTAATAAGCTAAGCCTTACAACATCCTGAGAAACGTGACGTATTCTCCAAATTTTACCTAAGAGGAATTGAAGTTCAAAGATTAAGACTTTGCTAAACTCTCACAGGAAATTCAGATTTCTTGACTCCAACTCTTTTGTGTTAATCACTAGATTGTATTTCCTACTCCAATATAAAAATAGTATATGACTTTTCTGAAAAGATCTAAGATACCTATCACACAGAAATGGCATTTAAAAAAAGTTAGTTGCAGACTCAAGTACTCAAAAGTTAGGAAATGCTAGAATTAAGATTGCCTGTGTAATGTTTGTTTGGTCCCTTTTGTATATGTATTATGATACACGATCGCATGCTATATTTCTCCACAGTACCTCTACCTCATTAAATGCACAGAATGGATGGCGCTTACTGAATGAGCTTCTATTCCATATTTTGTTTTCTCCTCACTTAATTTGTGGCCTTCGGCCTTATTTACTGCAGACTATTCAAACCCTGCTCTGAAGACAGAAGTGTTAATTTCCTCATAGACTTTTCTGTGGTGCTCATCCCTATAGTATCTGAGTGTTTCACAACATGCATCAATTTTCATAGCTCCCCCGGGAGGTGAGGGGGTGGCATTATTCCCTTACAGGTGAGGAACTGGGGCACAGAGATAGTGAGATCAAAAGCGTCCACTAATTTTGAGATTCCTCGGCGTGAGATTTCAGCACATATATATTTAAAGCTCAGTTCCCATTGACTTCAGTTACAGCTGTGTGTGTTTGAGCTCCAGAGTCTCAAGTCAGACTCCCAGGAACACGTGAGGAACACATAGTGACCCCTGTGAAAAGTTTGGTTTATGTGGCTTGTCCAGTATGATACAGACTCTGTGACAGAGGGAGGGATAGAATCAATTTTTCCAGGGAAGCATTCAACTGCCTTAATTATGACTGTCCTTTCTTTTCCTGAAGTTTCCTGCCTCCTTTACTGCACACCTTTCAACTACAGCCACTGCAACAAAGAGTACAGGAATGCTACAGAACACATCTTCATTCACTACACAAACTTGATTCATTCCCAGAGCACTATCCATCTGGTACACTGAATGAGAATAGAATGTGATCATGTCATTAAAGACTGTATTCTAATGCATATGCACACATGCATATGTTGAATTATTCCTAACTTTCCACTGATTGACTCTGCAACCTTTCATGTTGTTTTAATGTAGTTTTTTTGCATGTAATCTCCTGGCTTTTTAAAAAGCAAATTAGAAATGCTAACACATGAAATCATACTGATCCCTGCATGGTTCAACAACAGGATTTGGACCTTTAGATCAACAGCACAGATCTCTGCCACCTGAGTGAATGGAGTAATTGATTATATTGGCTGGTCTACCATTACTAAGGGGTTTAGGGCACACTTTGCCAGTGGGTTTCAGAGATTTACTGACAGGGAGGAATATTGAGGCTTGTGAATCTTGCGTTCAATTCCAGGTTCTGGAGTGAAGAGTGCAGTAGTAGAGAGCCTTTTGTCCCCGGTCCCCCAGGAAGCCTGACCACACACCCCTCCCAGAACCATGGCTCCCAGTTCCAGTTACTTTTGCTTTCTCCCCTCTTCCCTGTTGCCAGCTCCTTGTCCTAGTATACTTCATCTGTCCTCACCACTAGTCCAGCTCTTGTTCCCTCTGCACTGGAGTTGGGCTGCTACTTCATGCTGTTTGTGGGCTCCAGCAGGGAGATCATCAAGAGCACAGGAGAGAGAAGCTCTCTGCTCTTGGTTCCAGTGCCTGCTGCCACAGCAGCTTCTGGCTGCTGAAAGGAGTAATTGGAGGGAAAGTCCTGATTCAGCCCTTTTGCCATGGGCTGGAGCGTGCCCAGACTCTCTCTTCTGAGAGTTTAGGTGCCAAACTCTTAGAAGTTGCTACTGAGCATGTGTGAATTATTGTTTTTTCCAAGACTTATAACTTGGCCAAATTTGGTGAGATTTTACCAGGAACAGCAAAAGGTGCATCCCAAACACAAGAATGGTCTGACCCAGTATGGCCAATGGTCCATCTAGCACAATATTGTGTCTTCCAACAGTGGCTGGTGCCAGATGTTTCAGTGAGAATGAACAGAACAGGGCAATTTCTTGAATGATCCATCCCCTGTCATCCAGTCACAGCTACTAGCAACCAGAAGTCTAGGGACATCCAGAGCATGGGATTGTGTCCTTGATACCAGTGCAACAGCCCCCCCTGCATGCTAAATTTCAAGTCCTGACTCCAAAGCATGGAGGAACTGGAGCTTCTCAGCAAAATGATTGGAGGAATTTTTTAACATGGGCAAAACATTTTTTTCCCCCTAATCTCAATCTCCGAAATGGCTGAATGGCTTATGCTGAAACTTTCCCAAACTGTTCCACCAGAGGCAGGCATTCAGTATGAAAAATCTTACCCTGAGCAGTTAGTGTGGCAGAATTTAAGCAACTGAAAACAAGGTCTTTATAGTGGGAAGTGCTGGACTTTATAAGCAGTGCTATGAGTTTTGTCTATTAGACTTTAATGTTAAAAGTTTCAATTTATACATTTTAGAAATCTCTTTTAAACAAAAGATTAATGTATTCTATATTTTTACTGTGAACTTTACATTTAGTAGATTGTCTATACCTTAAGGAAAGTTTGTGGCTGCATATATTTTTAACTGACTGAGAGTTGCTGACATTTTTCTGGTATTTTAAAGGTTCTATAAACAAAAAGAAATCAAAAAGGAAAGGTCTTCAGTATGATACAATGGCCCTTCCACCTATTACTGCATTTGCAACAGGTAGGTAATATTTTATGTCATATGTAGGAGAGAGTCGTCCCTCTGCTCACAGTAACCTGCTTCTTCATTTTTACATTTTTGGTAACATATTCATAAATTTACTAATTTATCAGAAACCCTAATTAATCTTTTTGAGGAGATATATTAGAATGGTACAGCTCTTTATATACTGAACTGTGACTAGCTGGGTAAAAAAGGTGGCATTTTTATATAAACTGTTCCCTCTGAGTACTCTCATTAGAGCTTCAGACTCAATACGGGTGTCTACGAGTGAACTGGATTTTACTCTGGCTCATGCATCATCAGAGATGTTCGCTAAATTTTGATTGCAGGATCTTTATTGTTGGTGATACACAAGTCAGAAACACCTTAACTTTCTTTATATTTTCACGACTGAGTTTATAGGATTAGCTGACGGGGACCAGCTGAGAGAAATTGCTAGTGTAAGGAAATAGCTATTTGTGATTAACACGTGTTCATGGCATAGTTAAATTATCTTACTGTTACTTATGTGTGTATCCTGCATTGTCAGTAAAATTGTATGTAGATGAACGTATGCAGAGCAATATTTCATTATTTTTTTGATAGTGCCTACAATATGATGATTCTCAAACTGGATTTTTTGTTTGTCATGTTAATACATTGGAAGGATTTTCTTAAGATTAAGGCCCCAAAAACTCATCCTCTTGCACCAGAAGCAAAAGCAACTGTAGTTGCAAATTCATTTTAACAATGTCAACACATTAATAGCCTACATATTGTAAAAACAAATGTTCAATTATAATTTGTGTAATTTTAAAGCTTACATTTTGGGTGTTCATATATTACAGGGGTCGGCAACCTTTGAGAAGTGGTGTGCCAAGTCGTCGTTAATTTAAGGTTTCGCGTGCCAGTAATACATTTTACATTTACAGGGGCCGGCAGGCGGAACCCCAGACCGGTAGCAGGGTTCCGTTCATCCAGGCAGGCAGCAGCAGCCAGGACCCCGGCTGGCAGCAGAGTGCCACTAAAAATCAGGTTGCCGACCCCTGATATATTGCATAACACACACACCTGGTTTAGCTCTTTCAGTAGTAATTGTTACTCATTGTTTCTGTAATTGCTATCATAGGGCTATATTCAATGTCCTTAAGTTTCATAAACTTGTTGACCTAGTTGGCCATTGGTGCAGGTCTTTCAACGGTGTTAAAATATTTAAAATTCATCTGATGTAGAATGTGCTCTAGTGGATAAAGTTACTGGAGTGGGAGCCAGGAGACCTGAGATCTATTCCTAGCATGGTCATTGACCTACTGTGTGACCTTGGGCAAATCACTCCACATCTCGATACTTCTGTTTCCCTTCCTGTGCATTTTTCTTGTCTGTTTAGGTTATATTGTTTGACTATACTTGCGGTTCATTTTTTAAAATGTTCAAGACTAAATAACTGAACTTAGCCAAATTTATTGTCTAGAGACAAAGCAGTACAATACAAAAAGGAGACACACGTACTCTCCTTCCAGAAGCAGATTTTTGCAGCATATTCACCTTACACAGAAGGTGTGCTTCAAAGATAGCATTTTAGATAGTAGTATTTATAGTATGACTTGACAAGTTACAAAACTTCACACATCACGTAAACTCTAAGTTTAACCCATTAGTTTGTGCTAGCTTTGTCCTTGGTTCCTCTTACAATTGCCCTTATTTTGTTTTGAATTACATTCCAAGTGTTAAGTTTAGGCCTTAATATAGGTTGTCAATTTCAATTTTATTTTAAATACGTCTATTTTTTTTTTAAATGAACATGTATTTAATTTGAATAAAGTTGGAATTTTAATTTTTAAATTTATTTTTATCCACAGCGCTGTACCTACTTCCTAACTGAACTTGGTACAAAATATTTATGCATTTTTGCTTTGACAGATTTCCTGTTTTTTCTAATGCCAAAGCTGAAGTCAGCTTTGCAAAGTGTTGTGGGGTGCTTGACATGGGTCAACAGAATTGTGGGAAGAGCAGACTACATTCAGCTAACATCAATACATATCATACATATTATATTAATACCATGCACATAATACCAGGTAAAAATACCTATTAATGTGGTGTATACTATGCCCAATGTATATGTATTGGATAACCGTTATAAGCTCTTTGGGACAGTGGTGGCCTCATACTATATGTTTTGTACAGCATCTTTCGCAGATTGGCTTTGATCTCAGTTGGGGTCTCTAAGTGCTACTGCAATAGAGAAAATTAATAATAAAATCAAATTGATGAACTCTCACGTCTTGTTTTTGAGAGAATATAGGGATGAGATGCCTACAGACAATGCACCCTTACCTTGTTGGTGGGCAAAATGAAAATCTTATCCTCCAGTGAGTTATAGATATTTTTTTTTAAATATTACTGGTTAAATTAAAAAGTGCAAACCACTATTGTATTAAACATTTGGGGAGGATGTATTATAGAAATTTGTACCTCCAGTTTTCCTGTTCATGTTCATGCCCAGTCCTGTTAGGTAGGGACAGAAAGTTACTGTCTGACTCAGCCTACTTGGAAATAAGGTGGTAGTCTTGTTCCATTTCCTGGTGAACAAATGTCCATGACACACACATGACCACAACAGTTGGCTTTAATTGGGTCCTTTGGTAGTCTAAGGCTATGTCTACACTACTGTGGTAAGTCTACCTAAGTTACACTACTGTAGCTGGAGTTGATGTAGCTTAGGTGGACTTACTGCGGTGTCTACACCGCGCTGGGTCGACTTACCTTAGTCCTCTTGTTCTCTTGGGTACCGGAGTCTACTGGAGAGTGCTCTGCAGTAGATTTCAATCTCCAGGGCTTTTAGCTAGCAGTTTTCAGAAGCATGAATTTCACTTGGCTTTTCTTTTATTTCTGTGTCCAAAGTTGTGCAGACTTATTGTTCAGTTAAGCCTAGTAAAAGGGTACAGCAATGTGGATAAAAATCTATTTAAAAAATTAAAATTCAATTTTTTATTTAAATTAAATATAGGTTTTTGTTTTTTTTAAATCCATTTAAAATTAAATTGAAATTGACAACCTATATTAAGGCCTAACTTCTTATAATCTATTAATTATTTAGATTGAAATACAAAAAACAATATAAAGCAGTACATGTTTGCTGCTAAGTTTTAAAGCAATTGAAACTACTGAACTGGTGGAAGTTCCTTGCTAAGTGTCTGGAACTAGAGTTTGTTCAAGTGCTAACCAGTTTTTGACAGCAGTAACCTTGTCTGCAGGTGAAAAGAGAATATTTTCTTCATTTTGGTTTATTCAACTAGTTCAGTTCGATGGTTCATTCAAAGTTAAGAAACCAGTTGGGAGTTGAAAAAAAGCTTGGATTGTTTTGTTTTTTGTTTTGTTTTTCTCTTCAAAGGTATGAATAAAAACTTGCTGTGAGAGGTTGAAATCTTCTAGTTCTAAAATCTTGAAGGATGTAGTGATCAGAAACAATCAGCTCAATTAATTAAATACAACAGATACTTACTTTTGTTTAATAAATCAGTTTTAAATGCAAAACATGTTTTGATAACTTTTTAAAATGTATCCACCCTGGTGTACAGAATGCTCACAAATCTAGATTGTGGCAATTTATATCCTAGTGGTGAGAATGTAGCTTCCTTATGTGGTTCAGGTTTATTAAAATCTCCAAAAATATTTTTAAAATATTTTTTTAGCAGTGTTTACTCTAGCTTTTTTTTAACTTAGCCTTTTGACTAGTTAATGAAAATATAAAATTGCAATGGCTTTTGGAAGTAATTTAATAAATTGTGATGTAAGAATCTCTCTTACTCCAGAATGTCAGTTTCTAGAGTAACAATTTGGATTGGATTACAGAGATAGCACGTCAGAATGACTGGGATGGGATCATTGCTTGCCATCAAGGTTATATAACTTGTACAACCTGGAACTACCAGAAAACTTCCATGGGAGCCCATAAACTGAAACCAAAAGCATTCAGCAAAAACAAGCCTCTTGATGTATATGCAACAGTAAGTTTGGTTTTGGGGTAATCTTATTTCTTCAATATTGTGGCGTGACTGCTAATTTGCTATCCGGTTGCACAGAAACTGAATACTTAAAACCAAGAAGCATTTGGTAAAGATCTAAATAAGCCTTGCAAAATTCTACTTATCAGCTACATTGGGGTTAATAATTTTTTATAAGTGAGTAAAATAATAAAGTAAATGCTGACTATTTCAATCTTATATATCTTGAAACTCCAAGTTATCTAAAATTGTCTCCTGAATTAGAAATACATGGGGGAGGAAAACAAATTTTAGTTTTATGAGCTCCAATGATTTGAAGATTTGTAGCTGCTCCATAGACATTTAAATAGTCAAGGTGTACCTTTGTTCCTCTCACTTTCATCTTTGTTTATGGTGGGAGAGAAGATTTTGTGCCCGGGCTGGTAAACTGTCGTGACAGTTTTTTGTACGGGTATGTTAAGCAATATTTTCTCAAGATTAACACCTTTGAAAATGATAGGTACAGTACTCTTCGCTTAACGTTGTAGTTATGTTCCTGAAAAATGCAACTTTAAGCGAAACAATGTTAAGCGAATCCAATTTCCCCATAAGAATTAATGTAAATGGGGGGAGGGAGGTTAGGTTCCAGGGAAATTGTTTTCACCAGACCAAAAACTATATATTCTATAGATATATATACACAGTATATGTTTTAAACAAACAATTTAATACTGTTCACAGCTATGATGATTGTGAAGCTTGGTTGAGGTGGTGAAGTTAGAGGGTGGAAGAGGGAGGGATATTTCCCAGGGAATGCCTTGCTGCTAAATGATGAATTAGCACTCGGCTGAGCCCTCAAGAGTTAACACGTTGTTGTTGTAACCGCTCACACAAGGCAGCAGGAACACGAGGGAGGGGAGACAGCATAGCAGACAGAGACAGACCCATGCCTTGTGTGTGTGGGGGAGAGAGAGAGAGATGCACACTGCCCCTTTAAGTAAGCTGACCCACTCTTAAGTGCATTGTCTTTAAGTGGATCAGGAAGTTGAGACAACAGATGCTGCCCCAAGCTCTCTCTGTCTCTCTCCATCCCTGTCACTTCCCTGCTCTATATAGAGAAGGGGTAAGTGGGGTGCAGGATTAGAGGGGAGGGGGACACCCTGACATTAGCCCTCTCCCCCTTCTACCTCCGCACAGCAAGCAGGAGTCTCTGGGAGCAGCTCCAAGGCAGAGGGCAGGAGCAGCACATGGCAGTGGGGGAAGGGACAGCTGAACTGCGATTGATAGCCTGCTGGGCGGCTGCAGCACAGGGAATTTAGGGGAACGGGGAGCTGATAGGGGGGCTGCCGGTCCACCCTGGTTCCAAGCCCCCACCAGCTAGCTGCAACAGGCTGCTCTTCCTGCAAGCAGTGGACAAAGCAGGCGGTTGCTAAATGACCTTAGAAGGGAGCATTGCACAACTTTAAACGAGCATGTTCCCTAATTGATCAGCAACGTAACAACATTAACCGGGATGACTAAGTGAGGAGTTACTGTATGTTTCTAAGTTGCGTGCAAAAAAAGTACATTGAAAGAATGTTAAGGGCACAGAGTCAAGCACTCAAAAGTTGGGAAATGCCAGATTTAGGATTGCACATGTAATCTTAATTCTGCCTCCTTGATATCCAACCTGTGCACTGAATAAGTACCTGTACTAAGTACATGCATCCGAAGAAGTGGGCTGTAGTCCACGAAAGCTTATGCTCTAATAAATTTGTTAGTCTCTAAGGTGCCACAAGTACTCCTGTTCTTCTTTGTACTAAGTCTGGTTGGAGGGAGCCCTTCTCAATACTCTCTAGTCTGAGCCTATAGGAGTTGGGGAAGCTCCTGCCCCATGTGGTGCCCCCAGAGGAGGAAAGTGAGGCTGGTGTTGTGTGCCTGGTCCAGAGAAAAGTGTGTTTGGAGAGTAGAAGTGGGCCCCCCTCCTTACTCCTCTTGCCTCCACTACTTTGGCAGCTCCCAGATGTTCCAGTATGGGTGGGTGTTGGGGAGTGTGCCTGCTGCTTGGGTAGAAGCATAAACCCATTTTAGAAGCTTCACATTAAATGTTGTCATCCTGCCAAAATAATAATTTCCTGAGGGAACCCAAGTGAGAGAAGGAAAATGGTGATTCTTTCTTAAAACAATTTATATCGTGGCTACATCTGAGTGGAATTTCATGGGACAAAGAAAAGGCACTTCTCTAGTTAAGGGCATTCTCCCTGCCGAATTTCAAAGGCTCTGCTGCAAACTATGGAAGTGTAAGGGCTTCTCAAAGAAAAGGTCTTAATCCTTTATAATGGAAAAAGTTAGACAACCTAAACAGGGATTGCTGGTACTCCTTCTATAATGATGTCCCTGAACTTAGTTCAGAATAAATTTTTTATTTTCTGTTTTGTTTTCTCTTATGCAATATCACTGATCTCTGCCCCCTAGTTAATTCATTTCCATTTGGTAACAGGAATTGATGGTAGTTTGAGGTAAATGCATATAATAGTTCTATCAGCAAGAATAGCACCAAAATACAGAGTGCTTAGTACAAATGAGTGTGAAATCTTTTCCAACTGAATAAGTAAATATATTGCTAAGCAGCTAGATCAGGCTTCTTTAGACATGGATAATTTAGACAAGAGAATTCTTTGTATATATTGAAGGGGTGGTACATCAGGAAATTTACAAGTTATCCCATTATAGGAACATAACTAGCTAACTATGGAATTTGGTGGTGGTAGAGTGGGTATAACTATTAAACTGGATTGTGGGTCTTGGATTGTGTCTGTTCACACACATGTATCCAGACCCCTCTTTGTGATGTCTCTTCCTTCTTAAGTTCTGGGTTGAAAGATCTAAAATGTAAACTCTCCTCTCTTTTCTGCATGCATCATAGTTGATTGTTTTCAGATACTGTTACTCCATTTCTAGCACCAAAGTACGGTGGCAGCAGACTTTGAAGTTAACTTCCCTAACATGTCCTTTTGTGCAATGGAGGGCTAATCATATAGATTTTGTTTTTTACGTTTCACTGATCGTATCATATCAGGCATTAAGATGCATGTGACTAATGATAAATGTTGTTTACAATTAGGTGGCTATGAGAATGTCACTAACTTGTTTTATTTGTGTACTCTCATCTTCATTGCTTAGTCTTTCTGCCATGTGCTCATTTTTATCATAACTTCTCTCAAGAAAGCAAATATAGCTTTCCTTTCTGTGTGGGAGAAGATAAACCTTCATTTATGTTGTTAATCTTAAAACCACAAGAGAATTGTAATATAGAGATTTTGAAGATTTTCCTTTCTCAATATGAGGTGCTTTGTAACTGCTGTAGATAGACAAGCACATTTACAATTAAACATATTTTTTCTTTGCTAATGAGCTATGTGTTTTATGTTCCTTTCTCATTTTTTTTTCTCCCTTTAAAGGTAGTTGACATTACTACATGTGGAAACTTTGCTGTAATTGGGCTTTCAACAGGACATGTAGATGTATACAACATGCAGTCTGGCATTCACCGAGGACATTATGGAAAAGAAAAAGGTGAACTTTTTTTTTTAATTACACCCTAAGAGAATAGCTGCAAATCGAAAGACTTTTATTGTAGTTTCTGGGTGGAATGCAGGAATCTTGCTATTAAAGCAACAGGTGGCTGTGATTACTCTACAGTTAACTTTGTCTTTTATTCTCTCTGAGTGAAGGACAACAACACTCCCGCTACTGTGGATAGTTGTGGAGTTGGCATCTAGTTAATTTTAAGTAACATAAACTAATAGGCTACTATTAACATAGGCTAATATTCTGCTTTGTGTCAACGTGAAAAATTGTTCAGTTAAAATCTTTTGAATTGCCATCTTAATCTTGTTCTTAGCATATATTTTTTGTATATCTCATTATGTGACACTAATGCTTAGTTATCTGTACCTTAATCAATTAAACAGAATTGGCCTGTGCACACATGGAAAGCACTGATTAAGTATATAAACTTATAATATTCAAGTAATAGTTGTCAGGGGACTTTACAATTGTTTGTCCGATACCTTCCTCTTGTTTAAATCTGTCTTTAGCTCTGAAGGGACCTAGATTCCCCAGTAATTGGCACTATGTAGGTACCTAAGATAGGTGTAAAGCCCTGAAATGTAATTTATTTTTTTCTTTTGGATTAAAGCACATGAAGGTGCCATTAGAGGGGTAGCAGTGGATGGATTAAACCAGTTGACAATCACAGCTGGAAGTGAAGGATTCATTAAATTCTGGAAGTTCAAGACCATGGACCTAGTTTACTCTGCAAATCTCTCTTCTTCTCCAAGTGCAATGCTGCTTCACAGAGACAGGTGAGAATCTAAAACTATTTCAGTTGCAGCTTTGATTGTTTTGTTATAGTCTTAAAGACCATGACAAAAATGTCTTTCATTTCCTAACATTTTAAGCTAGAAATGACTGTTAGTCCTGCAAGGAGCTTTTTATATTACAGAAGAAATGGAAACTTGTCTTGCTTAGGAAATTTCAGTAGAACATAAAATTTTGTTGGGTAATATCAGGATATGCTTGTCTGTTTTATCTCTGAATATTAACTGCCAATATATACTACTAATTCTTTCCAGTGGTATTCTGGGAATTGCCTCAGATGACTTTGGCATTAGCGTTTTGGATATAGAAACAAGAAGGATCGTCAGGAAGTTCTCTGGACACCACAGCCAGATTAATGACATGGTGAATGTATATACTGTACATATTTGTGTGCTCACGATCTGCAACAAAAGTTAATTCAATTTGAGGGTGATAGATTTGTTGTCTGTATATAACAGATAATAAAATATAAATGTATGTTTAAGTTGGATCCCTTTTTGTTGTGTTCAGCTGCAGAAGCCAAAAAATTCAGGGTACCCCTTTGGAAACTGCAACCATACATGTGTATATGTCCTCTTAAGAATTAATGTAGTTTGCTGATTAAAATGCTCAATGTTCAAATAGTAAATATAGAAATTTTAGCTCACCCGTACAGTCTTGTAATTTTATTACCAAAGGACAGATGGTTTAAAAAATGAATGTCTAAAACCTTATTTTTTGTCAATAATCAAACGAAAATTCAGAAGTAATATAACAAATATTTGAGGCCACACTGGTGTTATTGAGGGCAGCAATTGGGATGCTATCCATCTCTTCAAAGTCTATATTGGCACAAGAGATTCCCTACAAACCAGAAGTATAAACAGTAGTTTTAAGCCTCTATCGTAACATAGCTGTATTTGTTTATTATACAGCACATAAGAGTGACATGCTAATGTGCATTAGATATTTGCTTTCAAAATGCTGTCTGGATTTATATTCAGTTACTAATTTATTCCAAATACTAAGAGATGAGTACATCTCTGATGTTGACGTCTTATGTTTTTATATATTTTTTTCTTTTACATTTTGTGGTGAATATCTATCTGTGTGCACAAAAGTGAGGGCCCACAAACATAATATGGGTCACTGCACTTATACGGTATCCTGCTGCACCCTTGCTTTTCTAGCCTTAGGTCTCCTGTGATCAGAGACTATCAGTTTTGTTTGGACAAATGTCTGCCTAGGACTGGGATGAAACTATCAATGCAATCTTTTCTTATGAACTAAAGCAGGATGTGTATGCTCTAAAATGCTTATTATAGACTTTCAGTCCCGATGGCCGTTGGCTAATAACTGCATCAATGGATTGCACCATTAAGACTTGGGACCTCCCATCTGGATGGTAAGTCAATTTAAGTACTGTATAAGAGAGCTCTTACTTGCATATGAATTCCATGCATTAAACCACAAAAAAGACTTGATGCATTAACGATTTCCCATAAACCTACACTAATTAAAAAAGTTAATATTCGTTGAACATTAGTATTTGAAACTGACTTGTTTTGTCTGGCATTAGTAATTTTTATAGCCATTTTATGAAGCTCTTGTAAATGGAAATGGAGAAAATTACAGTATAGGCAGTGTTTGAAGCCTGACATTGAAATTGTGAACAATAGGACTTCCTGGTTTTTTTTACTTTCAAGCACATGTACAACTGAAAAGGTTAAAAGGTCAGTTTTACTTTGATGATAAAACCACGTAACCTTATGTTCTGCTTTCCTGAATGGTACTTCATGTCAATGCAAAACACTTTGTAAATTCAAAAGCATAAAATGACTGTCTGTTATCATGTCTGTAGTATCAAACACTAGGTTAAGATTGCAAATCAACTTTAATTTTCCATTTCTACTTATAAACTTCCCGAAAATTTCTCCTCTGCTCAAAAATGAATATTCTGCCCTGGATGTTCAGTTTTGGTTGAGAAGTACACAGTATTTCAAGAGGTGGGAAAGGTGTGCACAAAGGTGACTTCAGACCCCCTTTGTGCTTTCCTGCTCTGGGGTGATACCTCAGGGCATGTCTACACAGCAAAGAAAAACCCATGGCTGGCCTGACTCGGGCTCACAGGGCACAGACTATGGGGCTGTTTCATTCCTGTGTAGACTCCTGGGCTTGGGCTGCAGCCCAAGCTCTGGAACCTTCTCACGCGTCTTACAGCCTGAGTCCAAAGTATACACAGTAATGAAACAGCCCCATGTCCGAAGCCCCTTGAGCCGAAGTCGGGCCAGTCACAGGTTTTTTTTGCTGTGTAGATATACCTTTAGTGTAAGTTAGAGAAGCTTAAATGTTAGGCTTCTCTGACTGCAGCTGGATCCCAATTGCTCGAAGGTTTGCATTGTTCTGTTGCTATGACAGTATTAACTGAAAATTATTTACCTTATGAAGGCTTTTATTTAAAGTACATGATGTGAGTTGTATCACAGAAAGATTGGTCAATAGATTGTTGAAAGTCATGCCTCAAGTTAGAGACCCAAAGATTAATGGATGAATTAAATTTAGAACTTCTCTCCTCAAAACTGTTATAGGTCCTTAATGTTGATTTCATTTCTTATTAAAGAAATTACTTGGAAAAGCATATGATAAAGTTTAAAGGCAATCTAAGACTGTCACTGCACTTGCCTTGAGTGTTTAGCTTGTTTAACATTTGCATCTGTCACTGTAGTACATAGACGCTATTGTATGTTATAATATATATATTGAAGATAGGAAGACAACAAAATAACTCTAGCAAAATTTTTGTTGATATGGAATCAACGTGACCTATTCTGTCTGAAAAAAATTAGGGTAATTTATCTTGCTTGGAATTTAGAGAGATGGTTTTGCTCTTGAATAGGCAGAGGAAAATACTGAAATAGAGCAATGATGGTCATTAAAAATTCAGCTGCAGGTCTTACTTTCCCTTAGTATGATTAGGAATATGAGCTATTTTAGACATACAAAAACAATTGCTAACTTTGAAGCTCTACTTAAGAAAAATCATAGATTTTATTTGATTCAAAAACATCAGTCTTTTACAAGTTATGGTACATCTGTTTTTAGTGTGCACTCTGCTATCCACTCATTGAGCACATGGTGTATAAATTCTGTTGAAATCTGAATGATGTTTAAATGGTCTCCTTAAATTTCACAGAAATAGATGATCCATCTGTGCTTGATTGTATGTAATTTAATTGATGTAACTGTATGCAAATTTCTCTTACTCACTGTAACTTGGACAGACAAATTAATAGGAGTACTTGTGGCACCTTAGACACTAACATTGATTTTGAGCATAGGCTTTCGTGGCCTATAGCCCACTTCATCGGATGCATAGAATGGAACATATAACAAGAGTGTATATCTATACATACAGAGAAGATGCCATACCAGTGCTAAGAGGCTAATTAATTAAGGTGACCTATTATCAGCAGGAAAAAAACTTTTGTAGTGATTATCAAGATGGTCAATTACAGACAGTTGACAGGAGATGTAAGGATAGTTATCATAAGGAAATAGATTCAAGTAGTGTAATGACTCAGCCTTTATTCAAGCCAGAGTTAATGGTATCTAATTTGCAAATCAATTCAAGATCAGCATTTTCTCATTGGAGTCTGTTTTTGAAGTCTCTCTGTTGCAAAATTGCTTATGTGCAAATAAATCTTGTTAGTCTCTAAGGTGCCACAAGTACTCCTGTTTTTACGGATACAGACTAACACGGCTGCTACTCTGAAACCAGACAAATTAACGTTAATTTACATGCCCTGTACTCATAATCTGGGTTATCTTTTTAACTCTCTCTCTAGCCTTGAACTTTTTCCTGGTGATCTCAATATGCACTAACACATTCTTCTGCCCCTCCCAGCCTAACTCATCATACTTACATTTCCTTTTTGAGTGCTTATGGATTCTCTCCTTGCAAGAGACAGTGGTTTTATACAGGCATCTGTGGGGCTTCTTTTGTTCACCCCCCACATCCACTGCTATGCTTCTGGTCTTGTGCTGCTGAGCAGCTCTGTTGGAAATCCCATGACCTGGCTGACTTCCTCCATTACAGATTTTTTTTTCTCTCCTCCTTCAGTTCTGCCATCTTCCTTGCTAAACAACTCTACTACTACAACTTAATTAAATCTCGCACCCACAATCCCAGATGCCTTTTTGTTACCTTTGGCTCACTGCTCAAACCCTCTGCTCCCCATATGCCCACTTCTCTCTCCACCCAGGATCTCTGATTTCTTCCAAGGGAAATTTTGACAAAATACAACACGAGGTGACTTCCCCTTCCTACAGCTCCTCTCATCTTTCTCCGCTGTCACAGATGGAGAAGTTTCCCTTCACTCGCTCCAGTGGCCCCATCACATCTCCTGATCTCCCTTGTACCCACTCTTGTCCCTTCCCTTTTGGCTCTTCCCTTCACAATACAAACATGTTCTAGACTCTTAGAAATGTAGGACTGTAAGGGACTTTAATAAGTCACCTAGCTCAGTCTTCTGCACTCAAGGCAGGACTAAGTAATAACCAGACCGTTCCTGACAGGTGTTTGTCTAACTCAGTGGCTCTCAACCTTTCCAGACTACTGTACCCCTTTCAGGAGTGTGATTTTTTTTTTTTTTTTTTTTTTTTTTGTTCTTGCAGACCCCAAGTTTCACCTTACTTAACTACTTGCTTACAGAATCAGACATAAAAATACAAAAGTGTCACAGCACATTATTACTGAAAAATTGCTGACTTTCTCATTTTTACCATATAATTATAAAATAAATCAATTGGAATATAAATATTGTATGTACATTTCAGTGTATAGTATATAGATTAATATAAAGTCATTGTCTGTATGAAATTTTAGTTTGTACTGACTTCGCTAGTGCTTTTTAGATAGCCTGTTGTAAAACTAGGTAAATATCTAAATGAGTTGATGTATACCCTGGAAGACTTCTGCGTCTCCCCAGGGATATGTATACCTCTAGTTGAGAATCACTGGTCTAACGTATTCTTAAAAACCTCCAATGACAGAAATTCTGCATGTCCGACTTAAACCTCCCTTGCAATTTAAGCCTATTGCTTTTTTCCTGTCCTCGGACATTAAGGAGAATAATTTTTCACCCTCCTCCTTTGTAACAACCTTTTATGCACTAGAAAACTATTATACTGTCCCCTCACAGTCTTCCCTTTTCCAGACTAAACAAACCCATTTTTTTCAGTCTAGACATTTGATCACTCTTTTTGCTCTCTTCTGGACTTTCTCTAATTTGTCCACATCTTTCCTGAAATGTGGCACCCAGAACCGGGCACAATACTGTAATTGAGGCCTTATCAGTGCAGAGTAGAGTGGAAGAATGACTTCTCATGTCTTGCGTACAACATTCCTGCTAATACATCCCAGAATGATGTTCGCTTTTTTTCCAACAGTGTTATACTGTTGACTCATATTTAGTATATGATTCACTATAACCCCCTGACCCCCTTCCACAGTACTCCTACCTAGGTAATCATTTCCTATTTTGTATGTGTGCAATTGATTGTTCTTTCCTAAGTGGAGTACTTTGCATTTGTCCATATTGAATTTCATCCTATTTACTTCAGACCATTTGTCCAGTTTGTCCAGATCATTTTGAATTTTAATCTTATCCTACAAAGCACTTGAAACACCTCCCAGTGTGGTATCATCCACAAATTTTAAGTGTATACTCTATGCCATTATCTAAATCATTTTTGAAGATATTGAACAGAACCAGTCCCAGGACCAATCCCTGCCGGATTCCACTCGATATGCTCTTCCAGCTTGACTGTGAGCCCTGATAACTACTCTGTGGGAACAGCTTTCCAACCAGTTACTTATCCACCTTTATAATAACTCCATCTATGGGGAGGGATAGCTCAGTGGTTTGAGCATTGGCTTGCTAAACCCAGGGTTGTGAGTTCCCTCCTTGAACGGGTCACTTAGGGATTGGGGGCAAAATCAGTACTTGGTCCTGCTAGTGAAGGCAGGGGGCTGGACTTGATGACCTTTCAAGGTCCCTTTCAGTTCTATGAGATAGGTAGGCATTTCCCTAGTTTATGAGACGGTCATGTGAGACCATACCAAAATCCTTAATAAAGTCAAGATACACCACATCTACTGCTTCCCCCGGATCCACAAGCCTCGTTACCCTACCTAGGTAATCATTTCCTATTACCAAAGGAATGGTTTTGTTCTTGACAAATCCATATTGACTGTTATTTGTCACCATAGCATCTTCTAGGTGTCTACAAATTGACTGCTTGATTATTTGCTGCATTATCTTTCTCGGTACTGAGGTTAAGATGACTGGTTTTGCAATTCCTCGGATTGTCCTTATTGCCCTTTTTATACATTTGCACTATATTTGCATTCTGCCAGTCCTCTGGAATCTCTCCCACCTTCATCTCTCTTTTCCCTCCTCCCCCGATCCTGAACATCTGTAGCTCCCACTGATATCTTGCTCCAGTTGTGACCTTCTACACTTCTGAAAATCTGACCTTAGGTGACTCAAGTTGGGCTTTCAGAAAATAGAGAAATGCAGTGGCCACCTGTAAAAACTTTGGTTTAAGTGACCTGCATAGCATCACAGAGGACATGTGTTGCAGAGCCAGGGAAGGAACCTTGTTCTCAAAGTGTCATTAAGCTGCCTTAACCAAAATCATCCTTTCTCTTCCTGCAGACCCGTTTCATTCACTTCACATCTTCCAATTACTGCAGTAAATGAACCAGGAATCCTACAGTAAATGGATTTGTTCACTACTACACTGATTCATTTACTAAGCACTGTCTCTCCTACACTATATAGAGTAAAGAATTTTTTATTTCAAAGTGTCTTTGCATATGAAGAAATGCTCATTAAAATAACTTCAAATTCCTTGGTTAGCAGGGAGTTTCTTGCCATACTGTGCAGATTTTGAATTTCAGGAGAGGTTGTGGGAAGTGGTGTATATACTGTTAGGGCCTGATCATGTGTAACTTATCTAGGATCAAAAATATTAGTCTTGGGAAACACGTGCTGGTGTAACCAATTAAAACTGTATAATGAGTTTATTATAGGGTGATAGGCTGTTAAATTAAACTGATATTGCCTATTTAGTTTATTTCTATTTTCTTCTTCATTATTGTCAAAATAACAGTTGTAGTTGGGGTTTTTTAAAAAATACAAAATTCAATGTTTTTTTTAATCTATTACAAAAAACCCAAAACATTGAATTTTCCTCTCCAAGTTATGATGGGGAAAAAAATGAGAGAATACAAGTACAATTGAGGATGCTATGCTGATTTTAATGTTTAGTTGGGAGACACTCACAAACAGTGCTTTTATGCCGTGTAAGGTGACACAAGCTAGCAATGAGTGGCAGTCCATTGGTGGGAGCATGGGGAGGTGAAAACAAGATGGGAGCCTAAAAACACAGTGTGTCTATATAGATCTAACTGAAAATATAAAATGTACTTTCTTGCCCCTAAAAACCAATTTAGTAGTAAATCTGTGGAATTGGTTATGGAGAAATGGTTTCTTGACTTTCACAAAATATGTAAAACTGTGTTTATGGGGCACTTAAAACTTTATTATACTGCCTCAGAGATGACTTAAAGTAATAAAGATTAGTAAGTGGTTTTAGTGTCATCCACCTGCTAAATACCCATAGTTTATTGGGCCTAGTCTTCACTT